ATAGAGAATAGAGAATAGAGAATAGAGAATAGAGAATAGAGAATAGAATAGACTAGACTAGACTAGACTAAACTAGAATAGACTAGAATAGGAATAAAGAATAGAGAATAGAGAATAGAATAAAATAGAGAATAGAATAGGAATATAGAATAGAATAAAATAGGAATAGGAATAAGAATATAGAATAGAATAGAATAGAATAGAATAGAATAGAATAGAATAGAATAGAATAGAATAGAATAGGAATAGGAATAGGAATAGGAATAGGAATATAGAATAGAATAGAATAGAATAGAATAGAATAGAATAGAATAGAATAGAATAGAATAGAACAGAGAATAGGAATAGAGAATAGAGAATAGGAATAGAGAATAGAATAGAATGGAAAAGGAAAAGGAAAAGGGAAAGGAAAAAAAGGAATAGAATGGGAATGGAATGGAACAGAATAGGAATAGGAATAGGAATAGGAATAGGAATAGAATAACAGAGTTTGAAGGGACCTTGAAGATCTTCTAGTCCAACCCCCTGTTCAGGCAGGAAACCATATACCATTTCAGACAAATGGTTATCCAATCTCTCCTTTAAAACTTCCAGTGTTGGAGCATGTATAATTTCTGGAGGCTCAAAATCAACTTTTGAATTTGGGATTTGAGTGTTAGAATGGGCTGAGTTAGAGAAATGTGGCAGCTTTTCAAAGATAAGGGATTGGCCCAGCCGTAATAACAGAGAAAAACCAACTTTTGAATTTGGGATTTGAGGATTAGATTGGGTGATATGTGGTAGCTTTTATAAGTATAAGGTTTTATATATATAGTCCTTGACCACAATTGAACCCAAAATTTTGATTGTGAAGCAAGACACTTGTTATGTGACTTGAACCCCACTTTATGACTGTTTTTGGCCCGGTCATTAAGTGAATCACTGTGGTTGTTAAGTGAATCACGCAGTTGTTAAGCGAATCTGACTTCCCTCGTTGACTTTTCCTTGTTGGAAGCTTCTGGGAAAGTTACAAAAGGTGATCACAAGATGCTGGAACAGTGCAACTGTCATAAGTACATGCCAGTTGCTAAGCGACCAAATTTTGATCACATGATCACGGGGGATACTACCACGGTTGTTAAGTTTGAAAACTGGTCATAGGTGACTTTTTCCAGTGCTAGTCACTAAATGAATGGCTGTAAGTCAAGGACTGCCTGTATTTCACAATTTAATATCTGCTAAAGTGAAAAGAAGAATAGTTTATGAATATTAGGATTTTACATTGTTGATTGTTAGGATTTTATGACATTGGTATTATCCTCCAAATAATAATATTAATAATAATAATAATAACAACAACAACAGTAACAACAACAACAATAACAACAACAACAACTATTCCACAAACTGTCTCTAAATGTAGTTTGTTGTATAGTTATTTTTTTCTGGACTAAAAGAAAGTCAGAGGTCATCCTTTATATAAATTGGGTTATATTTTTTCTATCCCTTACAGTTTGTGTCGTTACTCCCTTTCCCTTTTATGTTAAAATGTATTTTAATCTTGAAATCTAATAAATATTTAATTAAAAATAATAACCCCCTTGTATGTTTACAAGTTTTTTTCCAAAACTATCTAAGATCATGGTTGCCCATGAGAGGTAAGTGGCATCAAGTACATTATAATTTTATGGGGAACCTATATATGTTGTCTTACCAAGGGAGGGAGGGAGGAAACAGATGGGGAGGGAGGAAAAAAGGAAGGAAGGAATGGTAAGGGAGAGAGGAAAAATGGAAGAAAGGAAGAAGAGAAAAAGAGATGCACAGGAGGAAAGAAAGAAGGAAGGAAAGAAACCAAAAGAGAAATAAGGGAGGGAAGGAGGAAAACAGAAAGAAAGGCATGAGAGAAAAAGAGGCAAGGGAGGAAAGAAGGAAGGAAGGATGGGAAGGTAAGGGAGGGAGGAAAAAAGAAAAGAAGGAAGAAGGGAAGGAAGGAAGGAAGGAAGGAAGGAAGGAAGGAAGGAAGGAAGGAAAAAAAAGAGATGTGAGGGAGTGAGGGAAGAAAGAAGGAAGGAAAGGTAAGGGAAGGAGGGAAGAAGGAAGAAAGGAAGAGGAAGAAGAGAGAGGAGAGGGTGGGATGGAGGAAGGATGGGAGGGAGGGAAGGAGGAAAAATGAAAGGAAAGAGAAAGAGGAGAAGAAGGAAAAATGAAGATAGAGAAAGGAAGGGGAGGAAGGAAGGAAGGAAAGAAAAGAAAAGAAAAGAAAGGAAGGAAGGAAGGAAGGAAGGAAGGAAGGAAGGAAGGAAGGAAGAAGAAAATAGAAGCAAGGGAGGGAGAGAAGGAAGCAACAAGAATAGAGGAGGGAGAAGAGCTTTCTGCTTTGGTTGTGCTTTGCTTTGTGTCTACTCTCATTTTCTTGACTTTCATCCAGAGGCAAAAATAAAACATTTACGCTAAAAATACGGCCTGGGTCTGTTTCAATAGCATTTTTTTTTTAATCCCCAAGCAATCTGGTTGTTTTTTCTTTTCTTTTTAGAACCTGGAGCAATATTAGCCACAATGAGCCTATGCAATTTCTTTGAAAAGGCCGGCAAATTCATGGCGGGAGGCAGATTTTCCCCTTGTTGCTTACCAAACCTCTGAAGTGAAAATGGCTGCTTTCGCAAGGCGGCAGAACAAGTAGGAAATGACCTATATGGCGGGATACGTTGACAGGCACAGTGGGGGTGGTTTCATTACACCTCCGGATTTGACTGGCACAGGCAGCTCTCTCTCACCTCTGCCGAGCACTCGGAATTGAATCTGTAAATGTTAATCAATATTTCAGGTCTATTAAATAAAGAAAGGCATTGTGGAAATCAAAGCACTAATGGCTGGCGTGGGGCTGAGCGAAAAACTCTCTGCCTACTGGAAATCTTGTCAGGCGCCCAAAGAGCAAATATTTTAATAAAACAATTATCTTGATCATATCAAACCCACTCTGTTGTGAGTACACCGTTGCGGCCAAGTTTTTATTTCTTCTTATTATTGTTGTGATGCCTCTTGCAAAAAAAAAAAAAAAACAAGGAAGGCATTTCAAAGAAGACGGTAGGGAGGATGAATGGAGGCAGGGAAGAAAGAGGTAGGAACTGTGTTGGAGGCAGAATCCGAGGTGTCTCTTGAGTCTTCTAAAAAATCATGGTGATTGAATGCCGAGGACAAATTAGAAGGTTTGGGGGCAGGGGGAGGAAGAGAGAAAAAGATGTGGAAAAAATAATGTTCTTGTAGAGCTGGAATGATAGGGAAACAAGAAGAAATGGGAGCATTCAAACAAACAAAAAAGCAAGATGGATGGATGGATAGATGGGTAGATAGATGGGTGAATGGGTGGATGGATGGTTGGTTGGTAGGTTGGTTGGATGGATAGATGAGTGGATGGAGGGAAGGATGGGTGGGTGGATGGATAGATAGAAGGGTGGGGTGGATTGATGGGTAGATGGATGAATGGGTGGATGGATGGTTGGTTGGATGGATAGATGAGTGGATGGATGGATGGATGAGTGGGTGGATGGAAGGATGGATGGGTGGATGGATAGATAGAAGGGTGGGATGGATTGATGGGTGGGTGGGTGGGTGGATAGATGGATGAGTGGGTGATGGATGGATGGAAGGATGGGTGGGTGGATGAGTGGGTGGGTGGGTGGAAGGATGGGTGGATGGATGGAAGGATGGGTGGGTGGGTGGGCGGATAGATGGTTGGATGGATGGATGGATGGATAGATAGATGGATGGATAGATAGATGGATGGATAGATGGATAGGTGG